CTAGGTTTGGGCATTGGGATCTCCTTGAGGCTGGCTCCTCTGTCTTTTGACATGACATCAAATTTGGAGCATTTGCCTTCTTTCTGGCATCACAGTGTCTTGCAAAGACTGATCTTGCCCCATTCCTCGAAGGATTTTTGGTTCATTCCATTGTAGAAATGTATTTAGAAACAAAGATCTGCATTCTTGATGTGCTCATTGAATTTTGCCATTGCTTCTAGGTCCTCTGTCATCTGACAGAGGTTGGGGGTGTGTGTATGTACCAACATGCATATACAGAGTCTGTATCTGTCTTATATCTATTTGCGTATACACACACACACACACACACACACACACACACACACAAAATCATGAGTTTATATTGATACATCTGATTCCAGTCCAACATGCTAAGAGTTAATTCTAGCCAACTCCCTTCCATTTATTACTAGTAACTCCTCTATAACATGGGGAAACCTCACTCTCATTATCATCAATGTATTTAATTATTTACTCAACCTGGAAATACACATAACTTATTTTCAATTGCAGTTTCATAGCACTGTAAAAAATATAACTTTAACTAGAGGACAAATGTGTGTACAGTTTTTTGCCTTTAGCTCTAAGGTATATAATTAAAACACTGTTTTCAGAAGTTACATAGGTTCTGATCTTTTCCAATCCCTTAAATGGTTGTGTTTTTTCTCTCTAGTGAAATGTATGTGAATGGTATTAGTTTATGAATATTAATTTAATGTTCTGTTACCTTACTAAATTCATTTACTGTTGGAAGTACTATTGTTATTGAGTCTTTAGCATTTTCAACATATTCCATCATCTGTAAGTAGAAATAGCATTACCTCTTCCTTACTAATTCTTACTCTAATTGAATCATTTCATCCAATTGTATTTGCTAATACTTTCAGTACAGTAGTGAATAATGAGATTCTGGACATCTGTCCTCTGTTTTGATCTGAGTAGTAATGCTTTTAGTATTTTCCTATAAGTAAGATAGTGGTTTTAAGATTGAGGAATATAAATATTTTCAGTGCTAGAAACTGTTCTCTTTATTTTCTTGAGTGTGTTTTTGATGAGTGAATGCTGGAATTTCATTAAACTTTTCAGCATGTATGGAAATAATTACATGGTGTTTAATATTAATAAATTTCCCAATACAAACCAACCTTGGATTTTTAAGTAAATCACACTTGAGTGCATTATTTTCTTAATTTATATTGTTTGCTAAAATTTCATTTCATTTCAAAAAAGTTCATAAAACTTTAATGAACGAAGTTTTTTAGGTTTTGATGTCAATATTGTACTGGCTTAATATGAAGAAATAGAGGTTTTTCTCTTACTTCCACTTTATGGTGTATCCAAACTATTGGAACAATTTAGAGTGTTGGGACTATTTGGTCTTTGAATGTTTTTTTGGTTTCAACTGTGACACTGTTTGTGCCTGTTGTTCTTGTGGGATTGAATCTTAAAAACTTTATTTCTTCTATGGATATTGATCTCTTAACACTTCTTAAGAGCTCTGGTCTCTCTGCTTCTTCCAAGGACACAAACATACCATGGGGGCCTCACCCTTAGGGCCTCAGCTGAACTGACTCTCCTCCCAAAGCCTCACCTCCAGGTGCCAACATGGGGGAGAATTAGGTCTGCAATATTTGAATTTTGGGAGAATACAGTTTGGTTCATAATCATGAATCATTAAAATTAGGGGGAAAAGAACATTTGACACATTAAATTTCCAGAGAAAGGATACTGCTTAACAGTATTAAAGATTGCTTACTGGTCATCAAAGAGTGGCACATTTGACTTGAAAATATTTTACCATTTGCATTCAAATCAAGTCAACAAATACTTCATGAGTGCTCCATCAGTCACAGCAAAAATACCGATTTGGGGGACATAGTTGTGAATCAGACAAACAACACATGCCAGGTGCTTTGGGAGGAAGAAAAGTTGGGAGTAATGGCACTTAGTGATCCTAAGGTATCAGGGAAATGCCCTTAAGTGATCTCTGTGCTGTTTCCTGGAAGATGAGCACCATTAGCTAATGGGGTGGGGCAGGGCCCAAAGAATTTCAGGCAGAAAGAACAGTATGTTGCAGAGTCTTGAAAGTAAGGAAGTGTAATAGGCTTTTCATGAGACTGTCCTCATTGCCTTATCATTTTGCCTTAAACTAAAGCTGAGAGTAAGGGATAATAAATGTTTTTATATACACAGAGAGGTATGCTGAAAGGCAGTTGAACTGGTCTCATCTCCAGCTTATATTGCTAGATATTTGCTCATTTTTTAGGAGGATTTGTAGAAGGAGAAAGTGCTGTGGCTTTTCACTCTCTCTAAAGCTAAAGGTTCATAGATGTGCCCAGAAAAACAGCAGAGGTTGGGAATGTTGGGTGCATTATTCACATAATAATCTAAGTTTATTCACTAAGTGAACAATCAAGAATGCCCAAGGTGGTGGTAGAAGGTAAGAATGGAGCTGGAAGGCATGAGCTTCAGAGAGACTGGAGTTCATGAAAGGTACCAGACAGCTTTGGAGATTATGGGATGTTTCTGACTCAATAAGCTTCAGTGAAAGTCACCATAGGAGAACATCCCAAGAAGTTCCACGTGATTCATCCCAGCAGTTCCCACGTGAACGGTGGTGCTTAGGGAAGGAGGGAAAGAGGCCCAGTGAAGGGAGGGAGAAGAGTAGGAAATGAGGCCTCTCTGTTTCAACTGGGCTTTGAAAGGAGACATCCTCCAGGTGAGCATGGCCACGGAGTTACCAAGTCTTCCAGGTGGGAAATGGCAACAGGCCTAGGCTGACTGGGTGTAGTGACAAGCCTGGACAAGGCCATGCAGGTTAGCAAGAGCAAGGATGTGCCGATAGGTAATTATAACTCTAGAGGCAATGGGTATGAAAAGATAACTGGAAGAAGAGAAAACAAACAGGATAAAAATACTCAAGCATGCTTTCATCGTCACAAAAATCAAGTTAAAATCAAAGCGAACCACAAAAATGATTTTCTTTACCTGCAAAATACCAAAAATTTAAAAATACACGACAACAATGATATGGAGCTGCTGGTTCACAGTGACAGCCAGTGTAAACACCAAATAAAAAGTGTAAACAAGAAGACAGCCTCTCAGCACACATCTAGATCTTAACAATGTTTATTGAGTTAGTGATTCTGCTTCAGTACACATCCAGATCTTAAAAGATATTTATTTGATTTCATGTTTATTGATTTAGAGAGAAGTACAGTGGTTATGCTGGTGACTTAATGCAGATGTTAGAAGTAGACTGTTTGGATTCAGGTCACAGTTCTGTCACTTCTGACCTTTGTGGACACAGGCAAAATACTGGAACTCCTTGTACCTCAGTGTCCTCATCTGTAAAAATGGGGTTCATGACAATGCCGACCTTGTCTGGGTGTTTGGAGGATTAACATTTGCTGTGCAAGTCACAAGCTCCACAAAGACTTCCTGACTATTATTTTTAGGTCCACAACTGCTCATCCAAAATTCTAAGGATTTCAAAATACAGGCCTTTTTGATTCTGGAAAGATACTATGGGGTATGGATCATAATATGTAATGCCCCACCATGGATTTTGGTGTAGGACTGTATAATTAAACTCATTAACATTTCTATTGTGAAATGTAAGAATATTCACATTGAATATCACCAAAAAATGCAAAGTGGTCTCACATCAGTTCAGCTCAGATAAGGTTTTCTTGTCAAATATGACACAGAATCTTAAGAGATTTTCTGCCATTTGGTATTGTCAATAAGGCTGCCTCCCATAATAAAAATACTCAAAGTGAAATTTTATGTGTAATGTATAATATTGCATTATTTAATAAATGTTTACAAACTATTAAAAACTTGAACTGCTTATGTTATGCAAATAAACAGGATACCGTTTTGTGTTTTATACATATAGAAAAAAATATGTAACCATAGAAAAATAGTTTGGAAGAAAATATGCCATACTATTAGCAGTGACTATCATATTGTCATAGAATTATGATTAAATAATTGGTACATTCTACAGACTTTTAATAAAAATTAGAATAAAAAATAATTTTTTATCAAATAAACTGTAGTACTTGGTCTTAATTGTTTGTAAATTTGACTATAAGTAATTTCAAAAAGTTGTCTTTTGTTATCTTTTCATGGTGGTAAATGCCACTATAAATCAATCCTTTATGATAGAAAGTTAGAGAAATTTCTTTGGGTATTTTGTTTCATGTGCTGAATTTCACTGGTTAATGTCAGTCTCAGTCTTTCTCCTAAAATTTAGTGTAAGTCAATTTCAAGTGAGTTTATATAAAAATAGTATTTTATATTAAGCCATTGTAAGGATTCAATCTGATGTATTTGCTGTTTTGCTATAGACAGCTTCAAAATATACACCAAATCCCTCCTCATATATGAGAGTTCAGAAGTAGAGAGGCCTTTGGCAATCAGACACACATGTGAAGTTGTAACCGTACCATTTTCTTACTGCTAACTTTGACAACTTACAAATCCCCTAAATTTCAGTTCCCTTATTTTCAAAACAGAAATAATAACATCTCATATGAGGATGAAGTGAGATAATCTCTGCAAAGCATACTCAGTGCTTTTTATCATGTGCTCAATAAATGGGTGTTCTAGTCTCCTTCCTAAGTTTTAACTAAGGACAGACAAAAAAAAAAAAAAAGGAAGGAATAAAATAGCCCTTCTTTATTGAGCACTATTAAAAGCACTTTACTTGTATTAATTTCTTTCACAGTCCCCTGCTGGGGGCCTGCAGAGCATGCCCAGAGAGGCAGAGTTGGTGGCTGGGCCGTTAGGTGAAAGCTGGTCATCTGACCCAGAGCCCACTCTTGTTGACCAGACGAGCTTGTTAGTTAAACCACAAGACTAAGGTTGCTACTCTTGTGGTTTAACGTGTGTAAGCAATATTGAAAAAGTAACTATGAAGCTCTGTTAACAGGTTTGTATTCCCTTTTTGTCGTCTTCTGTGTTTCATGCAGCACGCTGAGAACAGTGATCTTGAGCACCTTTGTGATTACTACTCATCTCTCTTCTGGGGACACTTTCTTGAAAGTACTGGCAAACATCCAGTCTACTCAGATATGATCCCAGATTAATGGAGTTTTTTTGAAGCAAATTACACCCCTCTCACTAAGACTGGGTAAGAGTTTAAAAATACATTTACTCTTTGTGGATGATATTGTATGTCATGACCTGTTCTGAAATATGTCTGCCTTGTTATAACTTGGCAAGTTGTAGTAACTAAATAGACACATGGTGACAAGGAAAAATAGGGTACCACAAAAAGACATTGGTACATTGATGGATGTGGTTATTATTAGCTAAGCATATGCTGATGTATTTGAAGATATTTTTATTACTTACGTAAAGTATAAAGACTTCAGTTTAGTATAAGGGGAATTTCATGACAAGCATTCTTCTTTTAAAATATAACTCCCATCCAGTTTTGTGAAACCTGTAATTGCTACAATCTATGTTGTTTCCTCTGCTGTAAAACCAATAACTAAAATGGAGAGGCTATCTCCTTGAAATTGGTTATAATGAAAATGTACCTACTGTGGTTATTTTGATGCAAATCATTCCCTAACTGTGAGTTTCCCTTACCTATACTTCTAGTGCATATAAATTTACTTCTGCATATCTTTTCCTCAACATGGAAATTTTCTGTTCCAATACACTAAGTTGCCAGCCACTGCAGCTGGGGTTAATTTGCAAAACAAGAGAACCGGGGCTGGGAAAAGATATTGAAGTTGAGCCAGGGTGCAGAATAGCAGTATTTACTGCAGAGAGTACTCAGGGGAGTTGGAGAAGATGAGCACAAGTGATCAGGCATCTCTTAGAAGGACCCTCCAGTGGCTGCTGTGAGGATGGAAGCTAAGAGATGTAAACAGGTGCTTTTCCCAGGACATGAGTTTATCTCGGATGAGTAGATGTAGAGAAATAAAGTTCATCCAGAGGGTTTGCTTCTCAAGCATACAAGTTTATTCTGCATCTCAAATACCTGAGATTCAAACTGAGTCAGTACCTCTTAGACATAAATAGAAAGATACCAAATATTTAGGTGGAAGACAGGACCTTTTGGAAAGCATATTTACCTACACTGTGCAACAACTTTTCAAGTATTTCACACACAATGTAGAGAAGGGATATCTCAAAAGTTTCCTAGAGAGTATAGCCTGGTAAATGGAAACTGGAAAGGCTGAAGATGTGAAAATGCCTCTGGTCATACCACGGTGGCTGAAACCATGGTATTTGGGAATAGATTGGTTTCTCTGGTTTGAACTCTGGCTCAACCACCTTTTGGCCATGACTTCTGGGGTAGTTGTGAAATACAAATGAGCTAATTTATAAAGAGTGCTTTGTACTGGACCTGGCACACAGTATGTGTTCAATAAATGAATATTAAGTCTGCAAACATTTATAAGGGCTTTTGTAGGTTCACTAGTCCTTAATCTTAATGCTGTTTCTTCTATAAGATTTCTCATCTATAAACTTTCCCACTAGGTTGAATTTCCCTTCATCTCACCTAGCCAACCATAAGAAGACATTACTATATTTTCCAAGCGTAGATTTTTGGTTTCAAATCTGGTGTGTATTATCTTTTTGAGGGTCATTGATATTTTAAATTCTGTGATCTCAAATCTGCCACTTTCTAGCTTATTAATATTATTAGGTAAATTAATTACCTCCCTAAAATCTCTTTTTTGAAATGGGAATAATAGAATTTCCATAAACATTTTTGTGAAGATTAAATAATATGACACAGTGCATGACATGGTGCACCCAACACATGTGAACTACTACTAATATTACTACTGTTACTATAATTATTCTCCTTAAATACATTCTTGCTTACCTCTGGTGTGATTGCTGATGTTTTCAACTTGTGGACCTTAAAGCAGGATGTTGTGCTGAATTTTTAATAAGGTATTAATATATGTGAAATCTCAGGCCACTTTCTAACTTTTGAAAATATGATTCATCATCATCATAATTTTGTACCCTCAGAAATATAGTAAATTTAGCTTAAATGCAAATCTCATTTCATGATGTTACGAAATTATCTTAAGGACAACTGCTTTTAGAACTCCCAAACTTGATTCATCCCAGAGGAAATTACGTAACTTCCATTTAAGTTGCTCTGTTTTGATGATTCTTAATACCAGAATTTGGGCTTTTTTGCCCTTAACTTTTCACTCTTGTCTTTAAACTAATGATGTAACCTATCGAGTCTATAAAATTATACAATAAATACTAGGTAATCAGAATACAACAACTCTCCACTACATACTCCACCTGAACTTTCTCACTTTGTGCTCAGTCTGATTCTGAAAGCCTAGAACTTGATTCTCTAATCCAGTCTTAATGCCCGATCCTGGCTCAGATTATGTTCAGCACAGTACAGGTGTGGGTTTGAAAAAACAGTGAATTTTAGTAAACCAAAAATTTTGACTCCATCTCTCATATTAAGATCTGCTATTAACCTTGGAAGACTCGGTGCCATGGTTGATAATAAGATTTTCTATGAATTGTTGGGAAGAATAAAATCAAAATTATTTTTAGATTTCCCCTCCAATTGATTTTCTTCCTTTTTTGTATTTTTTCTTCCAAAATATGTTTAAATAATTTAATTGTATGAGTAAGCAGGAATAAGAATATGTCAGATCTTCAAATATCTACCAGAATATCTATGCATATCCAAAATTAACCAATAATAGATCCTTTGTAGGGCTAATTTATCTCTTTCTGTAATCTGGACCAATTTGTATTACTCCATGTATGCAATATTGTGACTTTTTAAATAAATTCTATGGACTGGACAAGGGAAGTAACACGCATTAAGTGGTTACCACATGCCATGAACTTTGCTTATCTGCTCATAAATTCTGGAGATGATGTAAGATGAGTCCAGCCCTTCCTGATAAAATGAAGATCAAGCAATTAAGTTATGTGTTAGTTTATACTGACTAGAAGTGCACAGAGATATGGGTGGGGTGAAGGTGGGGTCTCATCCAGGTCAGTTTAATTTCAAAGCTATCTTCCATTTGATCGTATTTTCCCCTTTATTATTCTGTCAAAGACTCTTTGAGGAAAAAAAAAATTCCAAGGAAGGTCTATAATGAATCCCTCTGTTTTTGATGTCTAACCAATACACACTGTCAAGTCCATCAACAGCACTTCTTGTGTCTCTGGTTGATCTGCCCTGTTACAGAGTCTCTGGGGACCATTGATGATTCCCTGGGAAGGAGTGGAAATAGGGGTAGATGAGTGTGGTGGTGAGGGCATAAGGAGAAACTTCAGGTGTCTAACTATATATACTTCTAGTTTATTCCAGGACACTTCCTGAAAAGAAAAATGGAATACTTACCCAGTGTTCTGAAAGATCTCAATGTTTGCTATTGATATTGGTGGTTAATGGAAACTTAAGGTCAACTTTAATTGCTATGACCTTTCATTAAGTCAGTACCTGTTTGGTATTGGTAACTATGATGTTCCTTGATAAATCAAATGTCTCGTTTCATTAATTTGTTTAATTTGTATTGGGAAAGCTGCAGAAACTAAAAGCTCTTACTAATGATTTTTCTTTAATTTTCCAAAGTGTGTAATGCATTATTAGTATGTCAATGTTCTTAATTCATCTTATCTGTACTTTATAAGAAGACTGGTACTTTTTTCCCCTAATGAACATTTTCCTTATTTATTTATATATCCTCATCCTGAAACTGGATGGATAATATTAATAACTCATAATTCTTGGTACAAATTGACAGGGAAGAGCATAGAATTAACTAGATTATACTTATGAAACATTTTGTGTACCTTAGCTTTTTAATTATATTGGAATTCTAATTGTTTTGAACATTCTAGAGGTCTTTCTAAGAATTGCTTCAAATGTAATCTCTTAGGTGCACTTCTATGATGTGATTTTTCAAAGATTGTGGTCTAGTAAACTTTTCTTTTATATTCTTTATAAAAGTCAGTTTTATTTAGAGATACCAAAATTTAGTCTATTTCTTGGAAAATTTAAGAAAAGATCTACTTAGGTATTGAAACTGTGTAATAAAAAGTAGGGATGGTTGTCAAAGAATAGATGGGTCTGTAAATATCTTCCAGCCTTTTATCTTTGCTCTAAAACTAAGTCTGTGTGAGAAAAAAAGTGGTGGGCATGAAGTTGGAAAAACCAAGCTGCTAACTGAGATTGAAAGCCACCCACTTTCTTGACCTCTTGAGATTTAGTTTATTTTCCCTTAAAACAAAACAAAACTTCACTGAGTTGTTATGGGAATTAAATGAGATCAACTCTATGGCAGTGTTTTAGAAATTTAAGGCTCTATAAAAATAGTGCATGTGAACATTGCTGTTACCATGGTATTACATGGAAGCTTTTACTATAAGATTTTGGAGAGTCTAAATGTAAAAATCACTTAATTTAAAAAATTTCAAAGTTAAACATTTTTAGTGGGCCTAGTGTCCCACCAACTGTTACTGACTATGTTGAAGTATGTCATCTTTCATTAAGCATGCAATGATTTGTGTTTGTCATTGGCAGAACATACGCATTTGGAGTAAGTGGTAAACATTGACATTGAGTATTTTATTTTTTTGTTAGATTGAAATCCTTGTTGGTTTATTGAGTCATGAAGATTCAGAGTTCCTGTCATTGGTGTCAGAGAAATGTTAAGCAAGGAATAAGACTATAATATTGGCAATTTTGTTGGGGTCAATTAAAATTAAAATTATCTATATTCCATAATATAAATTGGAAACTGGAGTGAACTCATTTTTACGTGTGATCAGGAAAGACAGAGAATTTATAAGAAGCATCAGTTTGCCTGTATGAACTGTATTTCTTGACTATAGTTGTGGACTTGTCTATTTCTCCTGACAAGGTAGGACCAATTCAGTTCTATCAAATTTTGCTTCTGATGTGAGGCTGTAGGTACAGGCACATTAAGGACTTCTGTGTCTTCTTGTTGAGTTGACCTCTTTCTCATTATGAAATGTCCCTATTTTCCCAATAATATTCTTTGTTTAAAATGTGCTTGTTTCACATTAATAAAGCTTTTCTTTCCTTTGATTATATTTGTGTGGTATACTGATTTCCATCTTTTTACCTTTAATGTCTTACTTTAATGTTTC